GTTGAAGAAGACAGGAAAGAAAGAAATAAGAAAAAAAAAAAAAAAAAAAAAAAAAAAAGAACAAGAACAAAACAAAAACTGAAAACAATATTCATACTCAACAAAAAACAAAAAATATCCAGCAGTAAAACATAAAATAAACAGAAAAAAAGTAAAGAGAAGAAAAAAATAAAGAGATTTATCTGTGACTTTAAGCCAATGGTTATATTCTAGGGTCTATAGCTTTTGTTTGTTTGTTTGTTTTGTTTTTTGGCAATGTTCAATTCATGGTGTGATGCTGCTCTTACTGGTAGACAAAGGAGGGAGCCAGACCCCAGATTCATGCCAGGTGATCACCAACAAGCCTGCAGTAGGATTAGAGCAGGATGCTCATTCTTGTAGTTTCAAATCTGTGGCAGTGTAAGCTGATCCTGGCCTCTGGTCATGGGACTCGGGGCTTGCTGGTCTGATGGCTCTCTGACTCTAAATATCTCCTGTGCTTGTCTTCCACCCAGTCACTATGGGAGTTTAATACTGGGACCCTTGAGTTGAAGCCAACCCATGGCTACTCTGAGTCCTGGGTTCAGGTGGACCTTCCTAAAATGACATCTGACCAAGCACTCTCTCCAGGGGATATGGCAGTTGTTTGGACTGGAGTCACTCACCAGCTCTTGCAGAACATAATGCCTACCGCTCCATTTTACTGGTGTTTTTATTCCTGGAGGCATCTGGAGTCATCTGCTTTCACTATTTCTCTGAATTTGATCTTCCTCTCTCATCTCTGGGAGCTTGGGAGAAAGTGCAGATTGCTCCTTCCTTTTTCTGCATTGTGGTCTGTCTCTTCAGTCTTTGTGGGCTCCAATTTTCCCTTCAGATATTTCTTGGCTCCCAGGAGTCCACTTCCCTTGTTCTTTTCTTCCCCAAGTTGTTATTTTCCAGTGTCTGGATTCTAAATGTTTGAGAGTTCGATTTGTTGTTGCTTATTGTTTTGCCATCTTCCTGGAAATGTCTTATGTGTCTTTTGGCCTGTTTGCCTATTAGTCTGTTTTTATGATAATTAACTTGATAAGGACTTATAAAATAAGTAAATGAATCTGATGCTGACCAAAAAGAAGAAGAAAATTGTTTTCATGTAGGTGGAAGGGAAGGAGAACACATTGAAATGTGCCATGTACTTTTGCCAATTTCTGACAATGAATGTAATTGTGTACTGTTAATGTACTATTAAAAGTTAAGATTTCTTTAAAGGAAATTAACCTGAGGGTCCAGTGAAAGGCTATGTTGAATGGCAGCCTCTTCTCTGTGTAGAGGGTGAGTGTGTAACCTTGGGGAGCAGAGATTAAATGAGTAATACTCTTGGAGGGAGAGCCACAGGCTCCTTCTGATTATATAAATGTAGCATGGTAAGAGCCCACTGTCCTATGACAAGTGGATAAGTGTATGCCTTGTTTGCTTTTGCTTGGCTTTTAAAAGCAATCATCAGTCCTTGGAGGGAGGACAGGATTAGATGGTGATGTGGTGGCACATAATTAAAGCAGCTCCATTTAAACCTAGATTTTCTTCTAGAAACAACTGTGACTGTGGAGCAATGGTGCTCTAATTTCACATCCCACTTCAGACTGATGAACAACCATGGTATTCTTAGACAAATGTTGGAAGGGCCCTGAAGAGGGAGATTCTGGACTACCTGCTGCTAAGTAAGGTATGTGCTTGAAAAGCTCTTGGAAACATAAGAACAGCTGTTGCTGTATTTCGCTCTGAGTACATGGAGTGCTCTCATTAACTGCACAGTAACAGGGACTCCAATAGCCTATTAAGTGCCTCTGCAGTTCAGATGCTTTGATGGGTTATTTGGTTTTTTTTGTTTTGTTTTTTTTCCCACTCTAACAGCATATTCGCTGACTCTGACATCAGTGCTAGAAAGGGCACCAGGTGGGGTTCAGCTAAACAAATAATCTGTCCATGGGTGTCAGAGAACAGGTAGAATCTATTTTGTTTTGTTACATTTTAAAATTCTGAAATAATAAAGAGATTACTAGAGTCCAGAGTTGGGAGCCGTCACATGTATGGAGTTGGCTAGGATCTAAATGGGAGCTACTGCAACACCCTCCCCAATTCCACTAAGGCAGCATCCCCAGCCCCCAGCATATTTATTTACCATCCAGTTGATCTGTAAGGCTATCTCCAAAATATGGGTGTGGGATTGTTTGAGCACACTTCATTGACTTTATCGATAAATTCCACAACTACTTTTCTTTTATCTTTTTGTAGTGCCCTCCACCAACACACATAGATACATAGTATTGCCTATAGCTCATTTCATAAAGAATCCCCAGAAATAGTTCTCTACCCACCCTACTGTTCTCTAACTTTCTCTCCTGTGCATTCCTGCCTGCCCAACAGTAGGTATAGTGATTAACTCTACACTACCTCCATCCATCTATCTCCTGCTCTCAAAGTCTTCTCAGGAAGACTGAATTTCTGTAACTGACAATCTAACTGGAATTTGCTATTTTAAATAAATGTACCCATTTTCTTGGCAAAGGTATGGCACTTTAGTAATAACTATGATATTCTGTAGCAGATACAGAGGAACCAGAGATTTTTCTTTCCAAACCATATGCCTGTGGCCATGGTTAGTAACTGTGGCATGTCAGCGAAACATTTTATCTCTGAAAATATTTAAAGGGAAGACTGATAGAGCAATACTATTCAGTAAGACAGGCCCTTGCTTTGCTTCCATGTTTTTTTCTTTTTTCCCCCCACAATGTTTTGTTCCAGAAATATAAGTGTGTGCTGCTGGGTAGTGCTCCTTCCCAAAATATCAAAATGTTTTGTGACTGAACTGCATGACTTCTCAGGAATATTCTGTTAAGCTCTGCCCATTTAGGAGAATATTTTGTTAAATTCCACCCCCTTACAAGAATGTTCTGTTAAGTTCCTCCACTCTCAAGAATGTTCTGTTAAACTCCACCCCCTCCAACAATGCTGTTAAGCTCCACCTCTTTGTGAGAATGCTCTGTAACTCTGCCCCTCTGCCCCTCTGTAACCTTGCCCCTTTAATGAGCACACTTGCCTACCCTGTAGATCCCCATATAGGGAGGCTCTCATTTCTGGTACAGCACTCAGACTTGGAGTATGAACTCCTCTGAGCCCAGGGTTTTTCTTTACCTCTTGGAGTGACCATAGGATTCTAAGAGTCTTTGAATTGTAACACTTTAACTGTGCCTCAGAGCTGTAGTACCTGGCTATAGCAGGGAACTCTTCTGCTTTGCAGCAAGATGAACAGTAAATAAGTTTATGTTGCCCTTTGTCTCTAGCCAGGTGAACAGAGTAGCAAGAGAATTCTGTTCTAGGAGGTTGGGAAGTGCAGAGTGGGTGGTCATAGTTCCTTCTCATTATTTGGCAGTCATTGTGCATAAATCAAGGAGATGACTCCAGTTTTCTAAGGTCCCATCTCCTTCAGGTTGCTGCCCAATTCAGACAGATCCCCAACTGCCCGATAAAAACACTTCTAGTTTAGCATTGTTTTATTCAGGAAGCTCAGGTAGGTCCTGAAATATTCTACATTATTTACACAAACACATTTTGAACAGACATCCCTAGAAAACTCAGACTGGTGATTTATTTGGTAGGCAGTAGGAGTAGAAGATAGCTTCAGACATGTGCTGCTGAAAACACTAAATAACCCGTTGGTTTTCTCTTTGTCTCCTAGCGGCACAAAAAGAAGATACTCTCTTCCAGAATGGCCCCATTATAAACTACTCTGGGAATATGAGTATCCTCATGCAGTGTAACCCTTCCCTCCTGGGGCCTCCAGTGGGCTGATTGCATAGTGAGAGTTCAGTCAGGATTAAGGACTGATGGCACTAACACTGTAGGCCTTAAATTTTGGCTCATGTGTCAAATGCTCTTTTTTTTTTGTTGTTCTCCACATGTCCCTGGGTGGCTTCAGCCACCTTCCTGGTTTCAAAGATCATTTAACTGGAGCATTGTGGAAAGACTGATAGCCTGAGACAGGAGACAATGACTCTTTCCAGCCCACCAGAAAATCAGTGTGTCTCTGCTGGAGATGTGGCCTGGACACTACCCAGATGACATGGCTTTTTGATGGAGGCCTCTCATCTGTACTGCCTCCATGTTTTCTTCCTTTTGCCACAAAAATTCCTTTTCCTCCCAGCTACTCTTCACCTGTTATCCAGTTCACCAACTCCCCAACCAGATTTTCTCTTCTGTAGATCTCCCTGTTACTTCTTCCATGATGCCCCATGAAAAGTATCTTCATTAATCCTCCTTTTTGCTTCCTCATATTCTCCATAGCCTTATCATAAAGCTTTCTACCTAGTCCTACACTGCTATATTCAGGCCAATGTTTACCGTAACCTGCTATTAATTTTAACCTTTAAATGTGGTTCTAGTGTAGACAATTTAAAATATATACAAACACTGAGGTAGAAGTAAAATGAATGCCCAAGTAAGTACACGATTCAGCTTCTACAGCTCTCAATTCATGGCCAAGCTGGATTTGTCTCTCCACCTACCCCTAATGCTATCACTGAATTATTTCAAAGAAAGTCTAAAACATCATATCATTTCAATCGAGACATCATTCAAGAGATAAGGGATCCTAAAAATATCATAACATGCAACAGCTAAATGGCACTGCTCAGACCTCTGTAATTAACTGGTCAATTTCTTAAAAAGTCAATTTGAGTCAGGATACAAAGATGACCCTCACACATATATTTCATTTATGTCTCTTATATCCTTTAAGTTCTTTAAAATCTATAATATTCCCTCACCCAAACCATTTATTCATTAAAAAAAGCTAGGTCATCTGCCCTGTAAAGTCTTCCCATCTGAGTTTTGCTGATTCTATCCAATAGCATGTTGATCATTCTCAGTTCTACCACCTGTAGAGTTGGGATAATACCTGCCTTGCTATAAGATCAGATAAGAACATGTATGCCAGATTGTTCTAGTAAATAAGGAAATTATTTTCTATAATGTTCAAAAAACAAACCACATTCACACACTGATGCTTGCATAAACATTTACTAAGATACAGCCAAGACAGATGTGTCAAGTCCTCCCTGGGGGCACAGGCTTCTTTATTGGTGTATAACAGGACCCAAGGGCTCGATGCACTGCATAATCAAATTCAAATGCCAGCTTTTTTTGCCAAAGCACAGCCCTAAACACCATTTAAACTGCAAGAAATATGAGCATTTCATAGTCTTGCTTTTTACTGTACTTAACATATACTTTGTTTTTTTGGTACCAGTGATTGAACTCGGGCCCTTGTGTTTACAAAGCAGGTGGAAGAACCACTGAGCTAAATCCCCAGCCTTTGACATATACATTTTAATGCTAATGTTCATTGCAGAAAGACAAAAATAAAACCAAAAGAGCTCTTATTCTAACTTAGCAGAAAGCTGAGCCATCAGTGTAAAGGACAATGTGAATACAGCTGCTTTTCATCCATAATTAACTACTACGTGAGAAGCTGCCCATTGCGGGGGCTTTGGTGACACATGCACATTAATGGTGAGGGGCATGAGTTTCCACCCAGTATCTTCTCTTTACTCTGGGTCCTTTTCCTCATCTGAAAAATGGGGGACAGACTTCTTTGCAACAACATTGTCCAGCCTCTGTCCTTGTAGATATGGATTGACACTCTGAAAAAAATGATGGTTTGGTGTTTATATGTGAACATCAAATACAGACACCTCACAAAAGAAGTAAAAGGGAGCTGTTTCTTACCTATTCGGTTAAGGACAAGGTAACAGTGTTACATGCCAGCTACCAAAAGATTACCTAGTGCACTGACTGATGCTTCAGTAGCTCATGAATATGAGTCAGTAATTGTGTCATTCATACAACCATAGAATTCTTTATCAAAGGCAATATGGCCTTTAAAAAATATTATTTGGGATATAAAGATTTGGGGTAAACCAGCTAAACTAAGCTCTTGCTACTTAGATACCACACTCCACAGAAAAGAAAACTGTTATCCTATGTCCCTATTTAGGTGGGAGAGGGGATGTGAAGAGCATTAAATTATTTTACAGGAAGAGTGTTTTAAAAGAGGTGACAGAGCAGGGCCAAATGAGAATTAGAATCTGAGAATTGGTCCCAGGTCATTCTGTGGCTATGGCTGTGACCGATGCAAGCATCCACTAAAGGGGTTCATTAAGGAAGGCTTGAGCCATCCTTCACACCCTCCCTCAGTCAAATTCAAAAGCTGAAGAAAAGGAGGACATTATCTGGAAGTCTACTTTGTTTCCATTCAAGACGCCATAAATCTCTTATTTGTGGTATTCCAAATGAGTCAGGGTTTTTCCATTCCTTCTTTAATACCTGCCTATTTTTTGAGGTTTGGATTTGAGCTACTAATTGAAGCTTTACAATATAGTGTTTAGCAAGCAGGAAAAAAAATTCAAAAGATTTGGAAGATATTTGTTTATTTAAGCTGCCGTCCAATAATGAAACAAAAATATAAAAAGAGGCTTCTGTGTGCCAACACCCCATAAACAGATGGAGGCAGTTTGTTCACAGGTGAGTCTCTCTTGCCCATGCATTTGACCTGCCAAACTCCTGGCTCCTGACTCCTTTAAAATGTTAGCAGAATTCTCCAAAAGAGAAAGGGTAGAATCTGAGCTTGGTATTTAAATGTCCTTCCACATTCTGACTGCTAAAAGCACGAATTATTAACAACATAACTCACGCTGAAGAAATCCACTATAAACAAGGTGACAATTACAAAAGTAGCATGTTATTTCCAAAGTACTCCAAACAATATTTTTGGTATTGGAGATTGTTACCTAGAGTGGTCTGGCCTATCCTGGGAGATCTGGGTAGGCAGAACAAATGTGGGCTGAAAGAGTATATTCAATATCATAAATATTTTTTTTCTATTTAGTGATAATATTCTAAAAATTCTATTAAAAGAGAATATGAGATCCTCCTATTTATTGAATATGAGATATAATGAGACAAAGTCCTTGTATCCAGATCCAGAAAATGTCAAAGTTTAGAGGTAAAGGAAAGACAATTAGTAGGGAGGGAAAGAAGCAGTTACTTGAACTTTTTGGATAAATGCTTAACTGTCAGGATTGAACCCAACACTTGGGAACAGAAATAATACTGAGCCTAGGTTTTCATTACATTCTAAAGAGCCCAAGGCACTTACATTTTTGTCTTCTCACTCAGGTGAGGACCAGTTAGCTTACACAGAGAACATTATTCCCTTTTCCCCGCTGGAAGAACCTTTGAGAATGGATCCTTGCTTGGTATCTCCTAGAAACCCTCAGCAGATGATTAGCCTCATTAAGGGAGGCCTTCATTTTTTAGAAAAGCAAGGCCATAATTTCTTTATATTGCTTCTTGTTCTTGAGGAGGTGGCTAAAGTCTTCCATCAAGATAAGGACACCCATCTGGTGTTGGGGGAGGCAACTGCTGTTTTCTGAGAGGCTCGTGGCTCAAGCTGTGAGAATGGGTCTCTATTGATGCCTGAGAATAGGAAGAATTTGATACCTTTGGGTCAGTGTGACCTTTATTTTCCTAAATTCTAAGCCTTCCCTACATGAAGGAAGTTGAGGCCAAAGTAAAGACCTTTATAATAAGTGCGTTAGCCAGAATTCTGAGTTTTGGTAATCACGGGTCTCATGGAAAAGCATCCTAGCTTGTGACCCAGTTGTTCACTGAGTCAGGACCCAAGGCATAGTGGGCCAGAAAGTAAAGACAAAGCTGCATGAAGTTATTCATTTGGGGTCAGTCATTGGTCTTATTTGGAAATGTCCCCTTTGTCCCTTGTGGAGATATACAAACCATCTTCCTGGTAAATTATATGTATTCTGAGCTCCTAGAATAGAATTTCTTGATGTTCTCTCAAAAACACATTACACTCTTCCTGTCACCATCTGCCATTGAAAACTGCAATCACCAACAAAAACCCCTAATAATCCTGTTCACTCTCCCAAGATCTGTTTCCAGACGTAACAACTCTCTGTTTCTCTCCTAAGAAATTGGCTGTTGGGCAGCACAGTGGCCAGAAGATTCATGTTGAGGCCTGAAATCCACACCTCATAAAGCCCTCTCTAAATATGGTGAAACTATTCACAACGGTCACAGTTAACTACTGTCCAGATTCTCAAATTTTGCCAGGTTTCAGGTACTTGCTATTCTAAACAGTATTCTCAGAGTAATTTACTGTGTAATAATGAGGATTCCCTCTCCCCCGGCGCCTCCAATATGGTCAGAAAAATGGCAAATGTCCAGGCCTTTCTGTCTATAAGATACCAGTGGATTGGCAGAATGGATACTGATCACTTATTAAGTCTTCATGCCATAAAAATGCATTGAGAACCCAAAGCAAATTTGGCGTTCAGCATTATATGATGAAACACCATATACATAGCAGCTAAATACAGAGCACTCAGAGGAAGGTTCCATTTCGGACAGCCCAGGGATGATCCGTAACTAATTCAGTAACTCAGCAGTCAGCAGACAAACATGACAGATCAGGGGGATTTTACGTCAGCATGGCTGAGCCAAGAGGAAAGATGTGTAGGAGAATAAGGTTTATTTGTCTCATCTTTTTGCTCCCATGTTCCTATACAATGACAGCTTGGGCCTTCAGTTCAACACTTCCTTACTCCTGTCTCGTGTTTTTATGTAATTGATGCAGATGTCTCAGTGGTTTTGTCCATGGCCCGCAGGCCCTTTGAAGGAAGACCTACCCGCCTGTACTTCCTAGATCTCCCACTCAAGTTGGGGGATCAATACACATCCTTAGATGGTAAGAAGGGATGGAATCACCACAGAACTGACCATTCCACTAAAAATTATGTGCTAACGTGCAGGGAAGTTATCCTAGAAGTTAAGGGCAGGCGTTTAACGTGTAGCCGCAGTCACACAGCACCTCCGCTCAGCCCTCAGCATTGCATGGGACAGGATCCTGCTTCTTTCCAGCAGCTGAGGGCTCCCACTTGCCAAATGCCACATCCACAAACATTAATTCTCCCCACGATAGCCCAGCCAGTGCACAATACCCTCCGCTTCCGCCTCTGTCCTCCCTTCATCTTCTCATAAAGGAGTTTCTTGTTCTACAGTGGGGAGAAAAGAAAACACATAAGCAGAAGTATGGATCAAATTTGGTGAATGTCTATTTTAAAAGCAATGCTTGGCATGTCCCTTGGATATTTGCATACACATATTTTGGAAACAAAGCTAGATGAAAGGAATGTCATGTCAGAAAGATAGACCACAAGTGCAGCTCTCATAAAGCCCTCTGCAGGGCCCTGAGGCACACAGTGTCATCAACAATCACATAAACAGGAAAATATGGCATTTTATAAAACACAAGGGAGCTGGAAACCCATCTCCTCACTTTGAACAGCCTTTGTTTAAAATGAATATTTTTATCTCAGTATCGAACTCCCTTTTTATGAACAGTGTACGTAAACTGCTCTCCAGAGCAGTGTCTGACCATTAACAACAATCTTTTGTGTAAATAAACAAGAACCTATAACTTCTACACCCCTCTCTTCTGGGGCTGAAGTCAATTCCCCCAGTCAAGACAATCGGAAAACCATTTGGTCTATAACATTTTTAATAGAATAAACCTTTTAAAAACTGCCAAAAAAACTTCTTGGCAGAAAGGCGAGTTATGTTAGGGGGAGGACAAGGGCTCTGTTACTGCAGTATGTATAAGTGTTTCCACGTACTGCTGCATTTCAAGCACACGACTTAAATGAGCTCTAGAATATTAGACACATGCTCAACACATTTCCCATCAACTGAGGTTATGAGACAGAACGCTTAACCTGAAGGCAGAATTGGGTGTTTCACTTGTGTTGTTTTATTTGGCATTTGTTAGTTTATTTGTTTGCTTTGTTTTTGGTACCAGGGATTGAACTCAGGACCTGTGTTTATGAGGTAGGTGGTGGCCCCACTGAGCTGAATCCCCAGCCCTATTTGATTTTTTTTTAACCAGAAGGGAAATAATGTATAAAAGAGGTGAGTTAGTTTCCTCTAAAGAAAATATATTGATATTGACTTAAAAAAAGAGAAATGATAGAGTTCTGGAGAGAAACAAGTTTATATAGCACTTGTATCTCTGAGTCATCATTATAAAAGTGGTTTTTTTCTTCTGTAATTATAGGTATGAAAGTGAAAGTGCCAAGTACAAAAGTGAACTTCATTATTTTCACAGTCATTAAAATCTACCACACCTGCAATTTGCCACACTTTTCCCTAACCTCAACTCTGCAGGGAGGCTGTGCCAGGAGGGAAGGGGCCTCCACTGCCCAACCTGACCACAGCTTTCCTTCTGCTCGGCTGAGGAACAAACAGATCAAGGGAATATCACAAGGGAGACAAGGCAGGCATGGGGATACTGCTGCTGGACTTGTTCCTTTCAGTCTGTGAACATAAACAATGTCTGGTGCACGGAGAACATTCTGCGTGTTGGTGTCAGAGCCAGGGGAGGGAGGCTGTGCAGAAAGAGGGCGAGAACAGTGGCCCTTCCTATGCACGGTCCTGTCCAGTTGCCCGAGCTGGCAGAATGCAGAAGGCCCTGGGAGCTGGTGCCATGGGGTACACTGCCAACCACCCCTGGCACAGTTTCTACTGGGCCACCAGCAGGGTAAAGGCAGAAGCATTTTAATCCCCTCTAGATTGAGGAGCAGATTACACCCATAAAAGCCTTCATTCAAAAAGAATTACAAAAGGTCTGGTAAGTTTTCGTTTCAAAGATGGTCCTGGCATTACCCTGAGAGCTAGGATTAGGATAAGCAGATCAGTGCTTCCCTGCCCACCACCCCGGGAAAGTGGCTGGGCATTCCTCATTAGCCGTGTTACTGTCTGCATTTAAACACAGGGGTTGGCAGGTATAGTGTGGGTTTAAAACACACAAAATAAATGATAAGAAACCAGTTATCTCTTCTGATACCCACTCAGTCATTGCTGATTCCCGGGGAAACACTGAGCCTGCTTTCCATGAGAGTGGCAGGTGTGAATTCACAAGGAGTGCTTCCCATTATGCCATTGAGATTTTGGACACCCTCCCAGTTCTGGGTTTCAAATTCCAATCCATTTAGGAACAGGGTGGGAAGAGTGGTGGGGAGCTTCTTGGATAAATATCTGATTATAGGGCTAGGGCAGGAAAAGTATAAGGATGAATGAAGTTGGAATATCTCACCGGAAAGTAAGGAAAGTGATCAAAAGTGATGGAGTCATGTCAGAGGGAAAGAAAAAGCAGTCTGAAGGGACTCTGATTGGCCAAATTAGGGCAGTGTGTACATCAAAATTAATAATAGCAGGAATTCATGAATCCAGACTGATACCAAATAAATAAGCACATTTATAGGTGCATGTGAGAAGTGGGGGACAGGGATAACCAGGGAAAACTCAGAAAGAATAGGAGAGTAAGAAAAGAAATCATTTTGCAACTATTCTAGTCATCATTGGTTCTGGTAAACATCATCTATGGATGCTAAATGTGTTGGTTAAAAGTTTAACAGGGAGCAGAATATCTATGCAGTCTTAAAGTATTTTCCTCCAGATATTCATTTCAATGAAGAAATGATGACTTTACACTGGAGAAATTCAGTGGACACGACTTTATAAAAGGAACAAAGTTAATGCCACCCACACAGGGCAAAATAACATGTGCTTACTCAGCACAAAATACTACGGAAAAAATATCAAAAAGCATAAGTATGCAGAAGCTTGCCATGTTTGACAGCAATTAGTTGTATATTTCAAAATAAGTGACAGAGAGGATTTTTGAATGTTCCCAAAATAGAAATGATCAATGTTTAAGATCATGGATATGCTAATTACCTTAATCTAAGCATTGCACATTGTATATGTAAATTAAAATGTCACAGGGCCAGGAATTTAGCTCAGTGGAACAGCCACCTGCCTCACAAGCACAGGGTCCTGAGTTCGAGCCTCAGTACCAAAAACAAAATAAATAAAATAAAATATCACATTGTACCCCATAAATATGGACAATGATTATGTGTCAACTAAAAGCAATTTTGCAAAATATAACTTAAGTTTAATCACACAGAAGTTTGAGACAAACCCAAAGAGTAGACTGCAGACTTGTTGAGGTCATGAAACACAAAGAATGTCAAAAAAGGGTCCTATTTTCCATTTCTCATATGGGTCAGGCTCTAGATATGATCAGCTATCTATGAAAAGGTGGGCAAAGCCATTGGAAAAGAGACACATGTGCCATTTGAGACAACTTTTTGAGGTCTACTACACAGGACACATTATGAGCAATGAGCCGCGAAAAGGTAATTTATTCAAATTTTAAAGAACTCTGGAGTCAAATGATTAGATTCAATTGCCAGCTCTGCCAATCCACCTCATGTTGCTGAGCAGGTTCTCAGCTCCAAAACCTGCATTTTCTCATCTATAATATGAGAATGATGTGGATGAGCAAACTGAATTAGATATTTGGAGTTAGTTATTTAGCATAGAATGCTGCACATGTTTAATAAACACTACTATTTACTATTGTATTCTGTAATGCAATTGTTATTATTCCTTGGTGTGTTCCCATTGCCTAACACAAAGCCCAGAAGGCATATGATGTGTATTTAATAAATGTGTCTCGATACATTAACAAAGAGGGAGACATGCAGGAAATGTGACAGACTGATATTTATGACATTTGAATCACTGCTAAAGATACAGCTCAGCTCTGGCTAATGTCAAAAGCAAAGCATTACTAGTAAATAGGGAAATAGGGATTTATGTGGGGTCCTGTTGTGAAAGATGATTGATTACTTTGTTAATTTAAAGAACGGTCGAGGTGGAGACAAATCTGAGATTACAATTCTATATAAACAAAAGGGAAAGTGTGTAGATCCCTGCTTAGAAAAATGAGACACACTCAATTCACACTCCTATGTGAAGACCAAGCAAATCTGTTTTACTACTATGTGGTGATGAGAAAATAAACAAGGAAACAAATTCAAACAAGCGCATAATTACAGATGATAAAAGGTGTGTAAACACTGCTCTGATCATTGATCTATGGCTGTTTTTTGCATGCGATTCCTAATTCTAATTGTTAACTCTGATTAGACAAAGAGTGGAGGTGAAATTCAAGTCATTATTCTGAAAAGGAAACACAAACAGAGAGGCATGGTGGATGGGCCTAACTGGAATGCTGAGGGTGAGTAGAGCTTGGTGAGAGAAATCTGTAAGGGTTTTCAGAAAGAGGTCAGAAAAGTTGGAAAGGGAGAAGTTTCTCTCTCCCCCACTCCACACCACCAACTGGGCTCTCTGCCCTTACTTGGATGTTTTCTCATGTCCATCCTCCAGTTAAGCTGGATCCATTCCCACCTGAGACTTGGGGCTGCCCTTATTAGTGCTTTGACTTCCTTGGTGGCCACAGTACCAATCAGGCACCATGGTCCCCAGCCCTGGGTCTCTCTTCCCCTTGGCTTCCATCTTTCCTAGCAATTGCGCCTGGACCTCACAGGAGAGCTGGAACCAGAAGCTGAGAAGACTCTCGTGCCAATTATCTCAACCACAAGATTGTCGCTCTTGGAAGACCAGTACCATGTCGCAATGAATATGGCACTGAGTGTACAGCACCATACCTGAGCTAAAGCAGGCTCAATATCTTCCATTTCCCTTCATACCTTGTTGAACAGGCTCAGTACCTTCTATTTGCTCTTTGCTTCAATACTTTAGTGATACTTTGCCCATCTCTTGAGATCCCTCCCAGTGCTCCCCTGTGATCTTCTGGTCTTTCCTTCCCTCTCTCTGCTCCTTTTCTTCCTCTCTTTCTCCCCATCTTCCTCTTCTCTCTCTTTAAAATGCTCTCCAAGGAAAAGTTAATTACCCTCTATTTTATATAGACCTAGAATCTCTCTTCTTTCCTCCTGCTATATTTATGTCAGATAACAATTCTAGTTAGGACTTCCTGCCTTGAAATGTCATGGATTCTTACTTTTCTTCACTATAATTATAGCCATCATAACAATTGCTTCCCATATTTTCTTCCTGTCCATAATTTCCTTCTCCTTTTATTTCATTTTTTTACATGCCATTAGGATAACTTTTACAGAAATCTTTCACAATCACAGGCTCTATTTAAAAAACTATAGGCATTTTTCTGTTCAATTCACCATGTGTTAAACTCTGTTAGTAGGCTTGAAAGTGTCTCCACAAACCAGTTCTTCCTAACATTTTCCTTGAAACAGCACAGAAGGAAAGAGGGGAAGGAGTCCCACTTTTCTCATATGGCTTCCACATTTAATGATATAGGCCTCACCACAGGGTCCTAGATACATCTCCATTCAGTTTGGCTCACTGTTACAGCCTGCTGGGATCTGCTTTTTGGGGGATGGGGGGGACCAGGGATCGAACTTAGGACCTTGCGCTTGGGAGGCAGGTGGCAGAACCACTAAGCCAAACCCCTGGCCCCATGCTGGGATCTTCTTGAATCTCAACTCTGTCACCCAATGTTACCCTTCCAACTTTGTGTCATCCTCTGAGAATCTGATAGCTACATGCTCCACATTTTTATTGTAAGCATGGATAAAAGTATGCAGTGGGGTGGTGCTAAGACATGCAGGACACGGTGTAAAATCTCCCTCCCTACTGACATTGATTCTTTAACAAGCTCCCTTTTGGTGATATTCTGTTGCCTAGGCTGGCTTGCTTTACTTCTTCCAATAGGAGATCGTAAAAGATTTTGTCAGACACGTTACTGAAGTCCAAATGCACCATGCTCGTTTCAGTCCCTCATCAAGCTTGCAAGTAAATGAATAATGCTGGAAAGTAAAAGAACACAACTAGTTGATAAGACTTGTTTTTAGCACACCTGTGCCAAATGGCCATTTCTCTTTCCCAGTCCTTATAAACAACTCCCTTAACTGACAGCTATCTATACACACTTGCCTGGGACTGACAGACAACAAAGCTCACTGGTTCACATGTAGAAACATTTTCTTTCCATGCAGCAGAATTTTACATATGTCTGTTTCTAATCTTTGACATCGTTTTTCCTTAATTCTCCATTAATCTAAAAGAAGATCATCTCCCATTAGTCCAGAGATCAAATCCTCGAGTGTTCTCTTTATCCTTTTCTTAAAAATCACTTGACAAAGTCCCTTGGGTGCATCAAGAACTGGTGAAATGTGAGGATGCATTATGACACGGGATGTGGGGTAGACCAGAGTTGAAGCCTCTGGAGACTGCAGATGGATGTGATCCAGTTAGGCTGTGCTTTCTTTGAATGGATTAGTGTTGCTGCCTAGACCCATGAGTGTGGTTTGGGATGATAGTCATTTAAAGTTCCTCTCAACTAGAGATTTCTGGAAAACTGAGCTTCTAAATATTTGTTCTTCTCTCCCTCCACCCACAGTGCCTCATCTCTGCCATCGATACCTTCAGAGAACCACATGCAGTTGTGGACTTACCCACTTGCCCAAGCCTGGGTAGTCATGCTCTGGATCAAAAAGGTGCTGGTGCAACTGGAATTCTCGACTGAACTCCGCTGTGTCAGGGGTGTTTTCTAGGCATCCATCATCTGCTGCAAACAGCCAAAGATTTTGAGGAATGGCCAAGGCGTTGATTGTTATGCTAAGCGTTAATTCATCAAATACATCTAGACATATACAAAAGGTAGAGTGTATTCTTGTCAGCCTTTCCAAGTCCCTGTCCCCTGGGGAACCAATCTCCCTGTCCAATGGGAGTGCTTATCCCAGCTCCCACTCTTGTAGCAGAGACCTGACTTGTTGGCTGTCCACTAAACCCCCTTCCTTTTCCTCCTTAGCATGAAATTAGGCTAATTTTCCCACCTTGCTTGGTGATCAGGTGAAGTCCTGCACCTGAGTTTGGTCCAACAGAATGTGGGCAGATACAATGTATTCCACTTCTAGGCCTGGCCCATAAAAACCTCCTATGGTGGTGCTCTGTTCTCTACTGACCTCCATCACCTGCTGCGTGGTTCCACCCAGGGCCAGGTGGATATCAGTGTAAGATGGGAGTTCAGGGTGCTGAACCAACCACCTTCCTTCCCCTCACCCAGCCGGGGCAGGGCTTCACACATAAGTGAGAGATAAATTTCTTTTGTGTTGAGCCGTTACATTTTATCCATTACATCAAACTTAACTAATCTACTTCCATTCTGCATCTTTCCCTCTGTTTACTCCTGGGTAAGCTCTTTAGAAAACACTTTCTTTAGCACCTTCGAGGAAGGGTACTATACAATAAGAATGGTAATCATCAGGGCTTGATGTTCTGTGTTGTAGTAGTAATGGCTTTCTCTTTGCAGTCAGACCAGAGCTCAAAGATCAAAGCTCAGGTTTAGTTCCTTGGGAAAGTTAATCTGCCTTCTTTATGGCTACTTATTCATCTATTGCAAATAAACACAGAGTTGCTGTGAGGAATAGAGAGGATCATACATGAAGCACCAGACATGAGAGTTTGCAATATGTTTTAGTCCCCTCCCCACCATCTCCCTTTACATGACGATTTATTGACTTCTCTTTGTGATAAAGTATATTTTCAACTCAAATCAAAGAAAGAAGGGCATCTCCTCTAGGGTACTGCTATTATTTAAGACCTAGGTAAAAGGTCTTACTAGGTAAAAGTGAGTCCTTTTTACCATGCTAATGTTCTTTAGACAACAGTTTTAAAAAGAGGGAGATCCTGGCACACTGCTCTCTTCTTGTAATCCTAGCTACTTGGGAGTCTGATGCAGGAGGACCACAATATTGAACCTACCTTAGGTAACTTAGCAACAAGATTCTCTCTCAAAATAAAAAACAAGTGAAAAAAATCAGTGAAAAGTGGGGACTTATTTTCAAGCCGCTTTTGGGATCTGTTCAGAATGCCAAGGTCTCCCATGTTAGCTTCAAGTTGCTAGGAGTGGCGAGACTGTGTGCTTAAGGCTGCTGGAAGCCTCCAGTACCATCTCAAGAGCAACACAACCTGACTAATTTTAAGTAGATTCCCTTTCAGTATTAACTTCTGAGCGTTCTTTATGTTCTTTATGTCACTTGAAAAAGTGACCACCCCCTGCCCTCCCAAAGCTTTGTACAAAACTGCCATCCTTTCTCAGTCTGAGCCCCTCTCCTTTTTGGGGGGTTGTGGGGATCAAACCCAAGAGTGATCTATCACCGAGCTATATCCTTTTTATTTTTGCTGTGAAACATCTATGTTCACCTAGCAGAAAGGCAGCAAAGGAATGGCAGATGATATGCAGGTAGAGCTGAGATTTTCTCTACCTCCCTCAGCTCATGTGGCCTGCTTGCCTTTCAGAGTCCTAGGAGCGCAAAACTAGCTCAATGACATTCTTTTTCCTTTCACTGTAGCCTAGAACTACACTGTCTGTTTCTTTAAGGTGCTATGTCAGCCCTTTGACAGATGAAGAGACACACACCCAAGGAAGTGAAAGGATATGCTGTAAATAACAGTAGATCTCAGATCTTTTGGTTCAAATTCTAGGTCTCTTTCCATCTCTTTAACAGCCAGTCTCAAACTTTGGCATGCACCAGAATCACTTGGAGGGCTGATGATCACATGGATTGCTGTCTGGGATTCGGTGAGCTTGGCAAAAGCTCTGAAACTTTGCAATGCTAGTAAGTTTTGGGCTAAGGCTGACTCAGGGATCTCACTTTGGGTACCAAGGCACGACTCTCCTCTAACCAACCTAACCAGACCCCCGTGGAGTCTGCTGTTCTCCAAACTCTGAGCTGGTCTTTTTTTTTTTTTTTTTTTTTTTTTCTACCCATCCAACCTACAAGCAAATAAAACGTGGCTGAATTGATTGAAGCCAGGCAGTGACTCAGCTTTTCCCCCCATCCTGGGCCAGCAGCCCCACATTAGCTACTTTGATGGTTGCTCCATCTTAAGAGGGAGCTCTGCCCCCATAGGAGACAGAGGAGGCCTCACCATAAGTGATAACAGGAGCATCGTCCTAAAGAGAGCGCCTGCATTGAGCTGCATTTCCCATTTCCCTCAGCCTCTACTGTCCATGACGACCCACAGGCTGTCCGTTACCTGTTTTGCCAAGAGGACAGGGGTTTGGAGGGTCAGGGTAACCCTGATCCTCACTGAAGTCCTTAGGAATGTTGTCACCAGTCAACTCTGCCACAATGTTGGGGATGTTGCCAAAAGGACCCAAGTGCTGCAGACCTTCATGTGCTCCACCTGCCAGGAAATCAAAAGTACACTCACAGCAGGGCAGGTAAATTCATGTTAGCTCATTTTCAGTCCGGCACTCCCGCCATACAGGCAAAGCACTGTGCTTCATGCTGTGGGGACAGAAAAATAAATGAAACAGTTCCTGCCCTCTAGGGGTTTAGAAATTCAGCTGCAGTAAGAGACACATTCTGTACATGTATCATGGACACACAAGGCAGATTGCATCCACGCTGTAATAAGAATATTAAGACAGCTTTAGGGGTCCAGGGGCCTGGAATAGGAAGGATGCCGTTTGGCTGGTGGGATGGGAGGGCTTCTTGGCTGACTGGAACTTGTGTGGCACTGGCACAGTTGGGTGGGTCACTGGAAGCTGGCCATGGAGCTGGGTGAGGGACAGGGACAGACAGGAAGGCAATTACAACCAAAGTACAATAGATTAGAAAAATATTATGAGAAAAATGGTAAGAAGCCAAACATTTTGGCAAACAACTGTATTCCTAGCTACTTGGGAGCCTGAAGCAGGAGGATCAAAAGTTTAAGCCCCCTTGGGCAACTCACTGAGACCCTGTCTCAAAATTAAAACCAAAAAGACCTAGGGATGTTGTATGCCCCTGGGTTCAATCCACAATATAGACAAATGGCGGGGGAGAGGGGGAGGGGGGAGGAGAAGGAGGGAGGGAGGAAAGAAGAGAAGGAAAAAAGAAGGAAGAGACAGGGAGGGAGGGAGAGAGGGGAGGAGGGAGGGAGGGAGGGAGAGGGCAGGAGAAGGAAGAAAGTTCACTAGCTTCTCACTTAAAATTTGATGTATTTAATATACTTTTCTGTATTCTTTTTATGCACAGATTTTTATTCTTTTTTCATTTTATATTAAAGCACAAGAAACTTTCCATTTGTCTACAGTTGTCTGTGCTTGCAAATTGCTAATGACTGTAGTTTTTTATCCCATCACAGTAGCACGACATATTAACCATTTCTCTATTGTGAGACATTTAGTGTTTTCCAGTTTATTTTAGGCCTCTAATTTTTTCCATATTTTGGATTACTCTTTCTCAGGATAAATTCCCAGAAGTCAAATTACTGGGTCAAAGGCCATAAACATTTTTATGGCTCATGATATTGTACTGCCAAATATTTTCCAAAAGAGAGGTAAGAATTTATAAAATATCACCAAAAAAATATGAGAATACTATTTTTACAACATCTTTACCAGCACTGGGTTTTATAAAAATAAAATTTTATAATTATTTTGCTAACTTAAATTTAGAACAATATAATAAAATAGTGATTTCAGAAAATTACTGGTTTAAATGTCTTTGATTACCAGTTCAGTCAAATATTTTCCATATGTTTATTTACTAGTTTTAATTTCCTTTTTATGACTTGTCTGTTTATACTTTTGGAATTATAATGTTTCTCTTATCAATTTGTACAAACATTTCACATAATAAATATATTAGGCATTTGGCTTCACATTTTCTGCAAGCATTTCCCATGTTGTTTGACTTTTAATTCTGGTAGTTATTACAGTACTTTGCTAACATAAGTTTTTAATATTTGTGTAGTCAGATTGCTTTTTCTCTTACGATTTCTTCTTCTCCTTCTAAACTTGCAAAATTGTCTCTTCAGAGGTACTACCACCATTCGAGTATTTCTTGTTTTTCTGTTTTTAAAATTAACTCTGTAATAGTGTTATTTATTTTAATGTAGGGAAAACTGTTTACCTACTGTCCCACCAGCATTTGTTAAATAATTATGTCTTTTCCCATTTGTCTCATGCCTCCCACATGTCCAAGTGCCTCATAAATACCAAACCCTTCTCAGAGGACAAGGACACAGAACTGAGTATGAACGACTTCCCTCACACAGGTTGATTTACCACATACAAAAATGCACGCCCACTTCCGGCTTTCTCACTTTGTTTTGCTGTAACATTTCTTGAGACTCAGGAAGCTTCCTTTCCCAGCTGCAAGGAGAGTCCATTGCATGAGGACCTCGTGCACAGAGGCCCCCTCCGTGAACAGTCACCTTGCACATGGGAGAGGCCCACTCAGAATCAGCAAGTGACTTGGGATGCATGAAATTAGAACCAAACCCAGTGAATACAACACCATGCTTTCACCTCCATAAAAGGATTCTACCAATTGGGCAGATTATCCCAGTTCAGCCAGATGAGGCTCCTTCCTCCCTGGATAAGAATGGGCACGTGTTTTTGGATTTTCAATTGAACCAGCTCCCTTTTGGGTTGACACATTTGGTGGGGGTGAATATGTTCAGTAAAATCATGGATAGATCTCAGTGTCAGGAATCCTTGTCTCTCTGAAGTGACTTTGTATCGCTCTCTCCATTTATTATGATTGAAGTTAAAATGTGAAAAAGAAAACTTGCCTTTTTTAAGTTCTCTGGCCTTCAAATGTAGACACCACTGAATGTTTTGTTTACATTCATTTTCCATCTTATTTCATTGTTTTGTGTTGAGAGTGAGTAGCCTGCAAAATTTCTGCATTCAAAGTTGGTATTTTCTTTATAGACTACAGCTCATGTTTTGCAAGTTTTTCATGTAAATATATAAAATGAAGTATTTTATGTAATCCATAAATGTCTAACTATAACTATTCAACTTTGTTAACTGTATTCTTTTTATCCTTATTCATATTTTATCAAAATCTGATGGCTATGTGTTAAGATCTTCTACCACCCATAAATATGTTAGTCTCATATTTCTTTCTTTTCTCGCTTTATCACTTTGATGCCATATAAGCTGATGTGTCCAAGGATATAAATTTTTCATTTTAATTGTGTTAGTAATTGGCCAATAAATGACATCCAATTCATAAGTCATATTTTCATTCCTATTTCTTTTTATTAGCTGGCTACTCTCATTGTACTGATTTGTCACTTATTTTTGAGTTTTCTGAACCTTTCTGATGGTTGGTGGTAGCTTCTTTCAGAGGTATCCTAGTGACACATATTTATTACTCTACATTAATGGAAAGCTGCAGAAATTGGAGTGGCAAATCAGTTCCCTCAGTATCGATGTATGTGAAGCTCTGTATAACCTTGGCACTACAGCCCCCACTGTGCTTGCTACAGGGCATGCTCTCCAGTGTGTCAATACATGTCTCAACTTTAGAAAGCACCCTAGCACTAAGTGCCAGGAATTATCCAACTTGGCTCAGGGGGGAATGCATATCTTAATGCTCCCTTAGTAATTAATGAAGGAGGCAAACACAGCTTCCCTTATGGAAGGCCTGCCAAGCTTCTGTTTACCTCTGTGCACCAGTGCCATCAAAATGAATGCAGCACTTGTTAGGAAGCAACAGATGTTTAGAACCAGGTAGATGTATTAGAACACAAACTCTTTTCAAACTACATTTAATGACCACAAATCAAGACACACTCACTAAGTCAGGAACTGTGAGAGAGATGTAGAAGTCAGAAATGTTCTCCTCTGCATTCCAGAAGCTGGAATTTTATAGACAACTGAACACATACAGAATACAATTTGAAAAGTATATAGTTGCATAGTCAACCAAATGTTAGTTATCTGATTCATTGTCATGACTAGATTATATCGATGTATAATATCTGAAGCCAAGTCAACCAAATGTTGAGATACTATTATAGGTGATAGTTGGTCTATTTATCTGTTTCCTGTTTTGAAAACCAAAACATGTTTTTAAATTATTATTCAATCAATTTAAAAATTATTTATTAAGCACAATCTATGCATTAATACCTGGACAAAATACTGGAGGTTAATGATAAACCAGATTCACGGGTACCATGTTTTCATAGAGTTTACAGTGTATAAGGATAAAAAAAGAAACTGACACCTATAATGCAGCCAGTTTTAATACTGTTTATAATGTAACTGAGATATAGCAAGACGGCACAGCTGTGTAGAGGAGAAAAATTTAGCCCAGATGTAGGATGTGGAAGACTTCCTGTGGGAAGGAACAGATCAATGATTTTGCTGGGTACTCTAGAAGATAAAAATGTGAAATCCATGGTTCCTACTCTCCAGTAGCTTCCTCAAGACTAACACAGCAAGCCAGTGGTGCATGAGATGATTTACCTCCCCAGTTCATTGTGGTATAGCCTGCAGATGGTGATGTAGACAAAGGACCACTGTGCAGGTGGGTTGGAGAGAAGTTACGGCCTCCTTCGAGACTGCTAGTGAGACTAATGCACGAAGTGACAAAGACTGGGACTGGGTCGACCACAGCATGAGTAGAAACACAAAGCTCTAGTAGTACATGCAAGAAATCTGTCGAAAGTCTATGAGGTGGGGCTAGTGGTGTAGATCACTGGCACCACACCTGCTTTGCATGCTCAAGGTCCTGAGTTCGATTCTCGGTACCAAAAAAGGTGGGGGGAAACTATGAGGTTCCCAAAGTCTAGAAGTCTGGTGATTTGAGAAAGTACAACCATCAGTAAAGACAGGATCTTTTATTTACAGCTTTGGAATATTTTCCATGAAATTACTTCCATCCTGTGAGGATGCTTTATTTCTGCTTCCAGCAACTCCAACATTCACTCACTCCCCATGGCCATTGTACTCTACAAATATCTGTAAAGTAAAGGGAAAATGTTCATAGGCACTGAATGAGTTTAAAGCCTGGTTTGGGTTACATAAACTTTATGTAACGAAATTGATACCACACTTGTATCCAACTCTAGATACTGTGTAATTGATAGATCTTCTTTCTGTTGTTATGACCCAAAAAAAGTTGTTCTTAGTTGTAGTGCTCAGAGGCAGTGGGGCTGGGGTGAGAAGGAAAGGATGCTTGCCTTTGATCTGGGTTAGAGTCATTTAAAAAAAAATCCCTAGTTCTTGAGATGGAACATAAAGCCTTCACACTGAGCTATACCCCAGCCCTTTCTGATTTTTTATTTTGAGTCAGGCTTTCACTAAGTCGTCACTGGGTTTGAACTTGGGATCCTCCTGCTTCAGCCTCCCAGAGTGTCGGCATTACAGACATGTGTCATCGTGCCTAATTTATATC